CGACGGGGACTGCGTGTTGCGCGAAATGTTTTGCAACTCAGTGCCGTTTACTCGTGTGTGAAAACGGTGTAGCCATGCCGAAAGGCAGGCATCGGCATTGTTATGCGCCAGGCTGTCGCACCGGTTACTCGGGCGTTAAAGCGGAGAAGCAGCTTTCATTGTTCAGCGTGCCGAAAGATGAAGCTCGTCGGGCGCTCTGGGAGAAGAACTTACATCGGAGCGACAAACCCCTGGTTAGCAAATGCGCAGTGTGTGAGCTCCACTTCGATAAGCGGTACATTCAGCGGGACTACGTGCACATTGTGAACGGAAAGAAGGTGAGGATTGAGCGCGGAACACCGGCACTAACGAGTGACGCAGTGCCTACGGTATTGCCAAATGCGCCAAAGTACTTGAGCTCGACAGCTCCTCCCAAGCGAGCACCTCGCAAACGGGAGGCAACAGCCAAGCTTGATGATACAAAGCGCAAAAGGAAGGAAGTTGAAAGCCCATGCAGCACTGCGGCTGTGGAAGAGCCGTTCGAAAGCGACGGATTTGATTCCCCAGTGCTTGGCGCTGACAATTTGTGTAATCTGAGTACTCCGTCTGCGTATTGGTCGTCCCATCGGTTTCCAAACTTTGAAGGTACGGTATACGCCCTTGGAGAGCTTGTAGAGTCCACTGGGACCATAAACTCGGACCGCTCGGTCCTCTTCAGTGTAAGCAGGGACCAAGAAGTCTCATTCAGGACATTCCTCGCTGGGAAATTGATCACTGAAGGACGTGTCGAGACTGTAAAGGAAGCTGAGGGAGTTCTTCTTCGAGCCTCAGGCTTACTGAAATGCCCTGGTGCCATGTCTACATCGGCGATCATCATCGCAGAGGAGCTAACAAAGAGCCTCCTGAAAAAAAAACAGCCGTCATTGGTGGCGCTTTCTACAGCCGGAGATGCGCAGTAACGACAGTGACAGAAGGTAAGGGCGAAACTAATCTTTCACTTGTGTACATGTAGTATATTTGCACATAAGGCAACATGGTAAACTGAAAAAGTGTGAGATATTTTGCCCGAGCTCCTGAGACGTAACAGAAATTGTTTTGAAGGCTGATAGCTTCGTGAACTTACTTTACCTCAGGAGCAGTGACATATATTTGGTGCTGATGAATTATGTTTATTTGCACAGCGGTATACTAGAGAAGTCATTTAGCAAACCCAACAAAATAACATTACCATGCTTTTCAGGAGCTCCTTGCCTGTCTTGTCGGTACCTTCGAAAGGCTCTTCTCGCAAGAATGTCTTGGCTCAAGTGCCATCGCCGAAAGCAAGTGAGGACAGCTGCCCAGAGGCTGAGGTCAACCTTGCAAAAGCACAGGCACCTTTCTAAAAAGGTGCTGAGCCTGAAAGGTAGAATTGAGGGCATGCGAGCCAAAAACGCGGCTATAAAAGAAGAGACACTGGAAGAGAAGATCTCTACGCTGCCCCCAAAGCAGCAGGAAAATGTGCGGCACTGTTTCAGAGCATCAAAGCGAAATAGCACAAATTGCATGCGTTTCACTAATGAATGGATGCTCGAATGCATTCTCATGAAGATGAGAAGTCCGAAGCTCTATAGACATCTGAGAAGACACAACATTCTCGTGCTTCCGGGCGATACTACTCTGCGGAAGTACACCGCCTCGTACAGGAGTGGCTTCGGTTTCAACAGAAAGGTTCTAGAAACTTTGAAGACGAAAACAGACACAATGGACACCTTCAGCCGTCATGGCGGCATCCTGGTGGACGAAATGAAGTTGTCTGAGCACCTTTCAATTGACAAGACTGGTAGAATCGGAGGCTTTGTCGACCTGGGGCCCTTTATACCACGGGCAGATGCGAACCTTCCTTGCGACCGTGGTATGGTTGTTATGTTCGTGCCATTCGCAGACAAATTTTCTCAGGTTTTGGGGGTGTTTGCTGCGCACGGAAATATTAAGGGCGACCTTCTCTGCAAGATATTGATCGAAACAACGATCCTAGCAGAACAGGCAGGACTTTTTGTCGACTTCATAACCTGCGGCGGAGCTTCGTGGAATAGACGAATGTGGACATCGATGGGCATCCAGGGAACCTCCAGCAAAATAACGTGAAAGGTGGAGCATCCTGTGGACCCCAAGAGGAACCTTCATTTCCTGTCAGACTTTCCTCATCTAGTGAAGTGCCTCCGCAACTCCCTCTTGAAAGGTGGTTTCAGCACACCAAATGGACGGGTATAAATGTTTTATTACATTCTTGCTTAACATTTTATATTAAGTCAACTGGCTAATCACTGCACTTTTATATTGATATAGGTGTCAGTGTATTTTGTGGCCGAGTCTTTCAACCTGGACAAAGACAGCATCGCCTTGAAGGCTATGCCAGGGCTGACTACAAGCCACCTTCAGAACAATGACTTCAAGATGAGAGTGTCCCTTGCCTTCCAGCTATTCGGAGACTTTGTGCTGCGTGGTCTACACCACTACAAGGACACCCTTGAGTCACGTTATGGAAAGGGTGCAGTTGATGCTACAGAATCATTCTTCAGGTACTTAAATATATTGTATCTGCTGTATTCTTTGGGCAAAAGACAAGAGTGTGTTAATGGCCATCACTGTTGAACCCAGCTCTAATGAAGATTTTTTTGCATTTACAGGCTGATGAACCAACTCATCAAACTGATGACCTCCAGATTCAAGTCCGAGGCTCTTTGGCCGCACTCAAGTGGTAGTTCTGCGCTCTCCAGTTTTCTAGACTACATTGACAAGTGGGAGCAGCATGTCGGCAAGGGCGTCGGTTTCCTTAGCAAGCAGACAGCTACTGGCCTGAGGGTTACGCTGTCCAGTGTGCTTTCTTTACTGGACTATGTTACCACAGAACTAAGCTACAGGTATTTGATGACGAGTAACCTAAGCCAAGATCCACTCGAGAACTTGTTTGGAGTTTTGCGGCAGTCGTCGGGCTGTAATGACCATCCGACCCCAGAGCAGTTCTTAATTGCTGTCAACTGCCTGAGCTACTATAGCCTAGCTAAGCCAGTTCACGGTGCGAGCGTTACACCATTGGTGCTTACATCACTGCTCGACACTGGAGATGCACACTCGGCAGATGCAACAAGCCTGCAGCAAACAATTGATGACCACATCGCTCAAGGAGATCTTGACGTGATAGAAAGCGCTGCCTGCCATGACAGTATTGCTGCCCCAACTGAGCATTACAGCCTTGTGGGAAAAAAGTGACTCTCGCCTAGCATATTACATGGCTAGATATGTTGCTAGAAAGTGTGTGCAGAAGTCAGGATGCACTGCTTGTCGTACTTCACTGCTTGTTCCAGCTTCAGAAGGGAAGGAACATGAGTGTTCGGCCTTTACGAACTTTTGCGACAAAGGTGGTTTGTTGTACCCGTCTAAGGAGCTGTTTGACTTCGTTAGCTATTTAGAAGACACATTTACAGACTGCTTCAGCACTAATGAACTGCGCAGTGATAGCATTTTAGATGTGCTGCATCTGGTCAGGGTTGAAGGGAGACCCCTTGGCTGTGCTCAACATGCAAAAGCAGTGAAGTCTCATGTGGTAAAATTTTATGTTGTCACTCGATTGCACTTTTTGGTTAAAGGAATCAATAGAGCTAAGGAAGAACGGCGCAGGAGGCTGCAGCACCTAAAGCTCCGTAGGTGCGTGTAGGATTCCCGTACAGCTGAGTGCTCCACTCGTCCTGTTACATACCTGTAACAGTTTTCTTTGTACATAGTATTTACAGTAATTTTTTTGTACTTTGAAGTTTATCTGTGTACATAGCCAGTGTAACAGTGATACTTCTTTGTATATATGTAAAGCAATAAGTTTTAAGCATCTTTATTTTTATTTTGTTTTCCTTTAAAATGTATCTTTATGCATAGTGTGTGTGACTGATATTTCTTTGTATATAGCAGCCGGTTTTAAACATCTTTATTTTTATTTTGTCGTGTCTGTAAACACATTTAATATGATGTTGACAGGTGGAAAAAAACCGCGTTGGTTTATGCCTGGCTTTATCCTTTGGCTAAATTACAGCTGCTTGGTTCTACACATTGAACGATATTTGTATATTTGCTGCTGATCCAATAAAAAGCTAAGGGATGCAGACATCGCTGTTGTCCTTTTAATATGGGTGTAAGAAAAAGCAGTTTTCTATTAGCATCGTTATTTAAAGCATTCCTTCCCGTAGCCGAGGCATTGTGACAAAAGCACACGTGTAGCTTTCGCTCACGACATTCATTCCAATTTGAACTGCTATTTACAGCTTCGCTTTACTGCGGCCATGCACAATGATACGGACAGCACGCGGACTTGACAGTTTCTCTCAATTGGTAAAAAGGCTAAAAAAAAACGGAATCGCGAAGAACCTACGCAAGGGGCGCATTCGCGCGTCACCGTGGCAGACGCTCAGAGCCGCGAAACCAGTGCAGCAACATTTAGGGGCAATATTATGAGGCGAAAGCCTGATTATCGTGTGGAAACACCATTTTTAATGCTACTCTGACAGTATAAATCTATAGCCGTACACCGGTAAGAAACTGGCCGTCGAACGTGTCGCCAAAGGCGCAGAAGCCCGGCAACGCACGACCGCGCGAGCGAAGCGCGACCAAGCCGGATAGGGTGCCTTGATGCCCGCGCGCTCCGCTCGGCGGGGGCGCGCGCATCGAGGCACTCTAAAGCCGGATTGCTCGTAGCGCCCTCTATCGCAACCGCGTACGGAGCTTCAGGAAAACAGCGGCGGTCGCGCCACTCGACCTATTATAGTACACTCTACTGAAGCGCCCTGTGTTGCAGCTCCCATAGACACTAGCGCCAGAGATCTCTCTAGTGTATATAAAGAAACTCTATGCTCTCAACCTCCTCATTTTTCTCATCCGAGTTTTCGCTGTTTCTAACAGATGGCGCCAAGTGCCTCGACAATGCGACGCAGTTTTTTTTTTTTTTTTCACGCACAGTTTTTCAAAATGAGTGCGTCCGCTGCGCAGTGTTAAAACGTGTATGCGTGGGACAGAGAGGCGCGAGATAGAAGCCTCCTCTGGGTGGTAGGTGTTCTGTGGTCTTCCTAAAGTAGATTATACACCGATTGGTATCGCTTGAACGTACGTAAGTGACGCTGTGTAGAACAGATCGATTTCGGAACGACCATAGAGTAATCAACGTGTTGTTTAAAAGGAAAAAGAAAGCAATACCACGTGTTCTGACCGATCCGTGGGCGCCGGCAACACCTGCATCGGTCGACTTCTGCGATCAGCCTGGCAAGGCGTGTTTGCTAGGCGGCAACTGAAGTGCGCGTCGGTTGGTAGAGCAGTGAGTGCCTCCCGATTATTGTCATCGTTTCAAGTGTGCCACTGCTTTAGTGTGCAACTCTCCGACGACGGCCGACACGGTGTAATGCGATTGCCCCATTCACGAATGCTTCTCTCGGTAAGAACCATTTTGTATTGCAGTATCTATCTGTAGTTCTGGCAGGCCACCTCCATAGTTGCATGTTCGAGAAAAAGTACTGACGCACGCGTGGGGGTGGTCTCCGACTCGTATGCCATAGCATGGCGCGTTAAGATGACCCTGAACACTAATCACTTGCGCCGATTGGAGAGCAAACGCTTTTTTTTTATGGATATAGTGTTTCTAAATTTCGCGATTTGAATACTGAAAGAGGCACTGAGCCACTATACTCGGCGACAACTTTTCTTGGCATTGGAGCGAAGGATAACGGAGCCAAATCGCGGACATCCTACCGCCAGTGAATTTAGTTCCACAACAGCGCCCGTAATCTCGCCGTAAAATGTAGAAGTTCCCCCTTTATTTTTTACGAGGAGCTATTTGAGATAGGACGCAGCTCCCACCATTAAGATAGTCGTATTTATCTTAATTTATTCGTTGCGACTTCGCGTTTTTGAACTTGCATGGAAGTTCCACCTTTTACGTAAGATCGTGCTTCATAGGACCACCTTTTACGTGCACCTCAAACGCTAAGCGGCGTCTGGGTCCACATGAAACGCTGATGGTGTGCCCCCGTCACTTCCCATAACATTACGAGACGCGCGCCAAAACGGGCTTCTTTGCGTATTGCTACATGTGCAGAAGCTCCGCCTCCGTAGCCTTTCCCTTGAGTGCTAATAAAAGTTGTCGCCGAGTATATCTGCGGTATTTCTTTGTAATTAAAACTGATAAACGGCGCTTTAGTATTACAGGGACAACTTGCGAGCAACCAAAGCTTGTAGAATTGAAGCAGCAGTTTTATCTATTTATGACGTACAGCATTGCTCGCTTTTTAGTGAATTCGTCCGCAGCTACGGTGAATAGGCGCTCCACGAATGCATTATATGACACTGTCCGCAGTTGCGACGTAAGGACAGTTCTGGCAGTGTGGTGCACTCTAGACGCAGTTTTGCGTGACTCTCTCGAGATAATGAAGCAACGACTCACGTGACGCCTCAAATTACCGAAAAATGTTAACGTTAGTGCGTTACCCTTTACGAAATGGTAACGGTTACGTTACTAAAGGTCGCCGTGCCCCGTTTTAGATCGAATTTCAGTTTTCGTCGTGGAGGACCATGCGTGGCACAGTTACATGGCACCAAAAAGGCCATTACCCCCCCCCCCCCCCACACACACACACAGACACACGCACACAAACACAGAGAAAAAAGGAATAATTTATACAGTTGACAGTCTAGTGCAATACATACAGCAGCACTAAGATGGGGGAGGGGGATAAGTAAAAGGGAACTCTCTCCGAAGAACGTCGGGTGTATACGGCGTGGGGCAACCATGGAAAGAACTGCAGAGGCCACGAAGACCCTGCTACTAGCAACTGTACTGCTAAGAAGTCTTGGTTTCTTTTCTCGATGCCTCGTTGCTCCTCTCGTCCTTGTTCGTCCTTCATCCTCTTCGTGTGGTGGTCCGCCAGCGCTCACGATAGGATTGAAATTCCCGGTTGTGTGCAGTGAAGTGTGGCAGCTTGGGCTAGTTGGTATGGCATGACGATAGTTATAGTCTCTGTGTCGTCGTTTTGTTCTCGCGCTATAACTATCGTTGTGCAGTGAAGTTTGTTGCGCAGTTCCAGATGCTAGCACTTTCAGGTAGCCCTTATTACTTCATCACCCCCTCATTGTTCCACGGTGCAAGAACTGCCGTTACCACCCGATTTCTTAGCTGAATGATCTGCGCGAGATTATGTTGTTGCCGGTTTGTGTTGTCATGATGAGCTAGCTGTCTGCGCTTCGAACTGACTCATTTCGCGAAGGTTCTCCTTCAATTTGTCATGCAGACTCATGCCCTCCTTTGTAACCAGCTCGCTTAAGTAAGCGAGGTCCAGAGGTCTCTCATGCAGCCGTTGTGATTCTACCGTCTGCAGTCGCTTTTTGCCAAAACAGTCCCGCAAGGTCTTCCTGTCAAGGTTGCCGTTGTGGTGCGCCTTCGGCGAGCGGTACGAAATTCCCTTGGAGCTTCTAAATGACCTCACGGTGTGAGCGCATGCGTTCGCAGGCTGTTCTCCAGGCCATCCAATTGCCCGGCACTTCCTGTCATCTGCTCATGTGGACGTTCTACGTCTTCTGGCTGTTTCTGTCCTTAGACTAATTCGTCGTGGTGTCGTTCCTCAACGATCTTCTACTGCATCTTGGACATCTAAGGGGTTACCTGTCGTAGCTTCTCTTCTTCTGCAAGTCCGCGCCTCATACAATTATTTAGTCAGTTCCTGCACTTTTGCCTCGTACGCCATAACCAAGACTTCTTGAGCAGCTTGCCTGATTAGCTCTTCTCGACGTTGGCAAATTATGAAATCACGCTGCGTCAATAAAACAACTAGATGTTTAAACATTTGCAAACAAATTTGTCATTTGGGTGTATAAAAGATGGACCGTCCCCAGAATGGATGGTAAAAAGGCGATTTCATCCATCCATCCTTGCACCTGTCCTGTGAAATAGCTGGTTCCCTGTGGCTAATTTCATTGTCTCTGCACATGCTGTCCCTGCAGAAAAACACTGCAGACTGTTCTGCACGGACGAAACTAACTTTATGCGAGCATCACTGGCAAGTAGCACCGAGACGGGAATTTGGGAGTGCCTGCTGGTGGCGGCGAGCAGGCAGCGTGAAGGTCGTCGCAGGACGAAGCCACCCCCGCTGTTTGAAGGAGAGGGGGACTTTTTTTCCCACGGTTGGTGCCACGCAGTTTTGTGCGGCATCTGCACTCCCCCATCGCGCGCTTTTCATCCTGCCTGCCCGTCTGCGTTTTATTATTCTTTCTTGTCTCGGATACACGGAGGCAGGGGAGCTTCGTCTTACTCGGAGGAGCACAAAGGAGTTTTCCCAAAATGGGTTTCTTCGAGCTCGCTTCTCTTGTGCTTGCTTTTGGCGGGATGGCCGAAGGAAAACGCAGAACTGGCTTTGTGCGCTACGAGAAAAATAATAATACGAAAAAAGGAATCATTCCATGGGTTCTGGAACATCAGCCATGTCACTTGCATGGGCGCAGGCCTCGTGGGGACACAGTTTCGTGATCTTTACTCAAAGACACCACATGGGCGAAGAGACGATCACTCGATCGTCATTATAATATATATACGAAAATACGAATTGAAAATAAAGTGAACATCTCTAATTCTCAATAGTATATATAATGAGATCTAACAAACAATAATGCCAAGGAATGTATAGGGGGAGTTATTAGAACAAATGCAATGTAAATAAGAAGAAAGAGGGTGTATAGCTAAGGAGTAGCCGGCGCCATAATGGTGCGCCAACATCTCCTTATATATCATATCAATAAAAAAAAGAAAGAGGGTGAAAAAATAACCAGCCGTGAGCAGGAATCGAACCTACGACCTTCGAATAACGAACGAGAAAGCACGACTAACGAGGAAACACTTTTATTAATCACATACGTTTCGGCTGGTGGGCCAGCCTTCGTCAGTGTGACCAATTATATATATATATATATATATATATATATATATATATATATATATATATATATATATATATAATTGAGAAATAGAGATCTTCACTTTATTTTCAATTCGTATTTTCGGCAGTGTGGCCAGCAGACTGGATAGATGGCTCGACTTGGTCCCGTGCTTTTGTGAACATGACTTGCCCCAGAGCAAGAAATAAACATATAATTAAATCTTTGTATGCTACAAATGTCTGACCTATTTTTGAATATGTCTGTACAGTGTGGGATCCTCGTGGTCAAGCTCTAATAATCTATAAACTTGAACAAAACCGTGCTGCACGCTTTGGCAGTGACAGTGTTAACTCCAGTGTTGCGTGAATTAAAAGTAACATAGGATGGAAATCTCTCGAGCAGCGCAGAAATATCTTGCGATTGAAGTTTTTGCATTCGATCGTTTGTGATGAAATCCGCAATGATAAGAGTTAATAAGCCCACACTACGGGTCACATATATACATTGATCTCGCATGAACGCGGTTCCTAATGCGACTCTTCGCGAGAGCGTCGAAGTCAACGGTGTGATGCAACCATTCGAAACAACAGAGGAAGCAGAAAAAGGTCGTATAGGCCAGACTTGTTAGCACAGGAAAGGGACACACATGCAGGACGCAAGGAGCGCGACCATGTGGTCTGTATGTACATACAGCTCCAAACAAAATGTCGTAACACAGGGGCCTGTGACATTTGACAACAAGCGGTCTGGTGGAACATTTTCCAGCGTACTGAAGAACCCCCTGTATGGTTGAATAATGGGTTTCTCCTGCTATTTAAAGCGCATATATCGTGCCGGCACTGTGCCTTATATGAAATAAAAAGAAATCAGTGAGGTCGGGTGTCTTTGCTAATTATTTCTTTCCTTTTAATGGAATAAGATGTATGCGTGTGTTGTTCTAGCCGATGCTTTTTGTTCGTCACTACAAGATGTGTGCTTTTTTGTAAATGTGCAGGCGCTGCTGCGCAAATGTATGCCATTTTTGACTGCGCAAGTGTGCGCCGTTTTCGACTGGAATATTGTTTTGTGCCTCACCCCCTACAATAGTGCCCACTGGGGCGACGTAGGTCGCGCTAATAAATAAATGGAAACGAAGCGAATGTCCGAAGCCGGAGGGCTCCCCTCCCCGTTGACTCCCGAGAAAAATGTCTTGCGAAGGGGGTGCTATTCGTATGTTATCTTTACTGTAAGGGAATTACAGAAACTAAATTAATCGCATTTAGCTGTAATCAGTTTCGTAGTTAATTACTTGGGATCATTTGAAGTGCCCATTTCTTTGCCGTATGACTAAATATGTAGAATGTCCTCACGCTCAACGTTTCTGAACACTGCGGCTCCACTCAACAACAAGAATAAGAACACATGGACGTTTCGCCGCCTACTTGGACGGCATCGTTAGTGTACTGCACAACGGCAGCTGATGAAAGAATACATCCCTAAACGACTGCTACTATACGTGCAGATTGTACAGAT